AGAAATAAATCCTCGTCCGTATTCCATGCGAATACTCAAATGCCCAAGAAGTGAGAACAGGCGCATCCATGTATCTTTTACTGCATCAACCGTTTCCTGAAGTCAACAGGCGCTGGCTACGCCGCCGTCATATCTCATTCAACCCCAGATCATGATCTCTTCCTCCTCTGCTCTTGCTTGGTATTCCGGACCTAGCTGTGGTTGGGACGTTCTTCCTGCCAGGATTACTGTAGTGAAATTTCCTGTTGCTGGTATGTCACATGCAGGAACATAATGGTCTTTCTGTCATCGACGGCCCAGTTTAAAATGCGCCCTAGCGAATTTTTGGCGTGCTGAGATTTGATCCGCGGTAGGGATGCAGTGATCCAGGGAGGCCCGCTCTCTATTGGGTTATGCGTGCATTGCTTGATGTGAAAAAACTTGACTTTGTCGTAAAAAAAAAAAAAAAGATTGAATGAGCTAAATTGTGTAAATATCTTCGGCGCGCGAACGTTTTTGTTGAGTAGGTGCATTTGCGGAGAAAAGCACCCTCAGACCGATGGTTTTCTGGACTCTCTTGATATAATTGGAAGAGGGGGAGATCTCAGACTAGACAGACTCAATTAAAGAGTTACCCCGACCCAAGCAATCTTGCCGGCGACGTGGTTGATTTGATCAAGAAGCATTAGGCAAGGACGAATATTCCCGCAGAAAATGAGTGCGGGGGAGTGTGTAACCGATACGAATTGGTGACTTGCGCCTTGTTTTCTTCTGTCATGATGAAACGCGTAACAGTCTGCGTTTTTTGAGCGCAGCAGGTACTGCAAAAATGCCGTGTGCGACGTGTGTGGCATTGACGGCGCATAAGAAATCGAATGAATTAGAGGTTGCAGCTGAATATCAGAAGTGTCGTTGGAACCCAATGCTATCAAAAATTCCGACCTGGAGCTGGAGCTTTAGTTATATTGCTGTCTTTATTTGTAATGAAGTTGATATGTTGATATACAAAGTACAAAGGCGAGAAAGTCCAACAATGCAAACTGACTACACTCGGTATTTCTGATGGGGATGCTTGTTCTTTTGATTTTTTTTTTTTTGGTGTATGTATGTTCATTCTTTACAGGAGAGGGGGGAGGGAAAGAAGGCATGCGCGCGCCCTTTAGGCCTTGGCAACCTTGGCGATCAAGACATCAACAACACTGGGATCAGCCAAAGTCGAGATATCGCCCAGGGAGTCGGATTCACCGGCAACGATCTTGCGCAAAATGCGGCGCATCAACTTGCCTGAACGTGTCTTTGGCAGGTCCTCAACCAAGTAAATCTTCTTGGGTGCAGCGAAAGGTCCAATGACCTTGCGAACCTGGAGGACCAACTCCTTGCCGAGATCGTGCGAGTGATGCATGAGACCTGGCTTCAAGCAGACAAACGCGTGAATGCACTGGCCGGTAACATCATCTGCAGCTCCAATGACGGCAGTCTCGGCAACAGAGTGGTGCATGATCAAGGCAGACTCAATCTCGGCAGTCGAGAGACGATGTCCCGAAACGTTGATGACATCATCAACGCGGCCACGAATCCAGATGTATCCGTCCTTGTCACGGCTGGCACCGTCACCAGTGAAGTAGTATCCGGGATAAGGCTTCAAGTAAGTCTCCAAGTAGCGCTGATGGTTGCCAAAGACAGTGCGGGCGACCGAAGGCCAGGCCTTCTTGACAGCCAACACTCCAGTGACATCGTTGCCAACGAGCTCCTTGCCGGTGACGGGATCTAAGATGGCGAGATCGATACCGAAGAAGGGAACGGTGGCAGAACCGGGCTTGGTGGCAATGGCACCAGGGAGAGGCGTGACAATGTGTGATCCAGTCTCGGTTTGCCAGTAAGTGTCGACGATAGCGCAGCGACCCTTGCCGACCTTGTCGTTGTACCAGTGCCATGCCTCTGGGTTGATGGGCTCTCCAACAGTTCCCAGGATACGAAGGCTTGACAAGTCGTGGCCCTCAAGCCACTCATCACCCAAGCGGCGGAGTGCGCGAATGGCTGTGGGAGCAGTGTAGAACTGAGTAATCTTGTGCTTGGCAATCAGCTCCCAGTAGCGACTAGGGGTGGGGTATGTTGGGATCGACTCGAACAGGACGGTGGTCGCACCCAAGGTAAGGGGACCATAGACGATGTAAGAGTGTCCGGTGATCCAGCCGACATCGGCCATGCAGGCAAAGATATCATTAGGATGGTAGTCAAAAACGTACTTGACGGTGGCAGCGGCGCCCAAGAGGTAGCCGGCAGTGGTGTGCAGCACTCCCTTGGGGGAGCCGGTGGAGCCGGAGGTATAGAGGAGGAAAAGGGGATCCTCCGAGTTCATGGGCTCGGGGGTGAGGTAAGACATGCGCTTGGTGACCTCCTCGTTCCACCAGAAATCACGGCCGCTGGTCATGGGAACATCGGCTCCGGTGCGCTGGCAAACAATAACGGACTCGACCGAAGGGCACGACTTGAGGGCCTCGTCGACAATGCGCTTGGTCTCAACGGTCTTGCCTCCACGCTTGCCCTGGTCAGAGGTCAAGACGATACGGCAGGCAGCATCCTGGACGCGATCACGGAGGGCCTCGGCAGAGAAACCAGCAAAGACGACCGAGTGAAGGGCTCCGATACGGGCGCAGGCCAAGAAGGCGACAACGGCCTCGGGAATCATGGGCATGTAGATGGCAACGGTGTCACCCTTGCGGATGCCGCGGGCGCGGAGAACACCAGCCAGCTGGCAGACCTGACGGAGCAGTTCGCTATATGTGATGTTCTCGGATTGGTTGGGCTCATCTGCCTCGTAAATGATGGCAATCTATGAGATCAAAGTCAGAAGGACAGGATTACAGGTGAGTTGCCATTCTTTGATTGCGAAGCAATTGCTTTGTCCTTTTACAGTGATTCCTGCCGCAGCAGTGAATGTAAAGAAACCTACCTTGTCGGGAGTGGCCAGAGCATGGCGATCGACACAGTTGTACGAGGCGTTCAATTGACCCTCGAGGAACCAGGCAGTGTCGCCGTGCTCGAGACCGCCGTGCTTGACGGTGTGAAAGGGCTTGGACCAGGAGAGAAGCTCGGTGGCCAGCTAATTTAGCAAGTGGTGTAAAGGAAAGGGTGGTTAGTGGGTTGGATTACAACACGATGGGCCCTGGCTGGCTCTTCAGGTACTTAAAATCCGGTGAGATCTTTAGCTGATAAGACCAATTTTTTTTTATGGGGAAATAGAATTTCCCCCTCGAATATTTTTTTCCCAGCTCTTGTTCACATTAGCGAACCACATCTCTTCTAAAAGGCCCGAGGCCTCTGATTCCAGCAAAGGGGAAAGGGGTGAGGACAGCCCATAGAAGGGCATGGTCGGCTTGCGGCGCATATTGTCAACATGGACAATGTGGCCACATTGGAGTCGATATTTTTTTTCAGCTCATTCCCTGGAGCATATTACCCATCTTTGCTGGACCAGCAACGGCTGAATGCATTACGAACGGTTCTTAGATGAAATAAATGCAGTGGTACGCGTACCTTTCCAAAGAACTCTTCAGGGTTCTCGATACTCTGGCGGTGCAGCTCCTTGTACTGCTCATACGACTTGACATAGGGCTCAGGGCACTGGGCGGGGTCGAGGAGTCTGGCGGGAACGGGGTAGGTGGTGGTTTCGTCGGACATGTTAGAGGCTTGGTATACGAAGGTGTTCTATGATGGCGTGAAGCGAGACGTACCAAATATTTGTTAGGGCAACTGAGCGGTAGAATGGTAGCAATTGAACCAGAGAACGATTGGGCTCGTCCCTGTCGCCGTCAGCATAGGCGCGGACGGGACCACAATTTCCAGGTTAGCTCATTGCAGTTGCTCATTCGCGACTTGACTTACCGATCGTTGTTCGGAGATGAGAGACGTGGACTCGACAAAATCAGAAATGTATAGGAAATGAAAAAGAAATGAAGTATGAAAAAGGCGATAAAACGATAGAGGGGGGAGGGGCACAGAGCAAGAGGAGGAAAGAGACAGGGGAATCGAGAGATGGGTTCAGGGAGAAGAAAGAGAGGAGGGTCGGAACACAGGGGGGGCGTTTTATACCCGAGCGAGGAGCAGGAGAGGACGAGCGAGCGAGCGAGCGAAGGAGATGCGTCGAATCAAATCAAAGGTGGGGAAGGAAGGAACACCTCGTTCCCCTTGCGGCCGCCTCTCGTCCTGCTTTATCTTTATTGTAAAATATATGGATCCTATTCAGGAACCTTATTCGCACGTCGATGACTCTCTTGGCTGGAATCGTGGAGAACAGCCAGCAGCACGCACGTCTCCAAACTGCAGCTGCTTTCAATTGCTATCAATACTTGCGAGCATTATTGCTCTCAGTGCCACTGCCACTCCTGCCGCGCCCTGCCACGCCCGCCACCCACTGCCAGCTGCCTCTGTATCACTGCTATCCTCACCATCTTGTCCTCCTATCCCGTCCTAGCCCATCCTAGCCCATCAGCCGTCCACTTTTCTTTCCCTTGGGCTCCACTCCCCCAATAAGCACATGTATAGCGATGTCAATGATGTGTAGAAGGCAAAGTGCACGGGGGGATAGTATATCAAGATGAGCGAAATGAATGAGAATATGACTTTATGAATTTTGTCCGCACAACCAGCGAGACCCCGTCTTGATCTCTACTCAGACCCCATGGATCAATCGGGGACTGTAATTAAGAACGAACATCGTCTTCCTTTCTTCCTCCTCCCTACACACTAATATAAGGCCATCAGCACTGTTACCTATCTTCAACTTTCCGGGTGCCGCCACCACGACGCTCCATCCAGCAAGGGAGCGGTCCCAGTGGCCAGGCAAATCAATGTTTTCCTTGTCTCTTTTAGGGCTGGCGGAGAACCACAAACGAAAATCTATTTACATGAATCAAGTCCTGGCATTCAAACAACTCAGTTTCTATCTCGGACTATTTTTCAGTACTTTTGAATTGATTGAACCTTCCTATTTTATTCGCTGACGTGGGGTCGATAACCTTTCTCGGATATGTGGAGTGGACTGCGCGAAACTACGTTTGGGGACCACACGACTGGGTTCCGTTACTACATACAGCAGAGAAAGATGAGGAGGTCTTTTTACCGCCGGACCGGATAAAAAGATGGACACGGCCCAATAAAAAGGGTGCTTGGGACCTGAAATGAGGGATTTGTGGCGCCCCACCCATAGATGACGATGATGCTGCCACTATTCCCCTTTGCTTCCACAGGGATCAGATCGTACCTGGAGCAGATCGATTAAAGAAAAAAAAAAAAGAAGCACTCCATCTCCCTGCCTTGTCCTCCTCACATCATCGGCCGTTCCTTTTCACAGAACTCCTTTCGGTTGACAAAGAGAATGAGATGAGAACGTAATGCTCTGCCAATAATCGTTCCTGATGGTACTCTCCCTCACTGAAGACGCTCCAATCTCCTCTGTTTGAGTATAATTTTTTTTGTCTGTTTGTCCCACCATTGTTCATGCCGGAGAAGACGGAGTGTCCAACAGATTAATGGGATTCTCCTTTGTACCATGAGGGCCATGTTCTTCTTATCTGCGAACTCTGATCTTCAAGGCTCATGACCCTGCATTATCAGCTCGCTGCCATCCGGACTGGTTTCCTTGTGCTATTGATTGCTTGCACCCTTGCCTCGCTTCCAGGATAGTTCTTTCTGTTCACTGAAGCGAAGAGGGCTGCCAGGAAGAAAAGGCTGGAGGAAGTGCTATGCAGTAGCAAAAAAGGAGCCACTTGGATTTGAGCGCAAACATGTATACACTAATGCAGGTTGGCTAAAACAGGTTTGAGGTGTCTCACCTGCATCGGGGGACTCATAATGTGTGGGGAGAGGAGCAGAAAGAGATCCTCGGACAAACAGCATGGTTCTCCCGAACTCAAAAAACGGCATTTCCGCCCCTCATCCTCAGTCGCTTTGTCCGAGCCTGAAAAAAAGCGCATACAAAAGAACTCGACGATTACCGCCCTGCATAGAGACCGGGGGGAGCCATTGAGGCTCATCGTCGTCAGAATATGGTCATTCGCCGACCAAGATTTGGATTTGGATTTGGATTTGTTCCTTCTGTCTGTGGGTAACGACAGCTGATAGGCCGCCCCGGCTGTTTATGATCAGGCTCTGGTTCCTGAGTGGTGCTCGGAATGTCTTTCCATCTAGCGATGTAGCCATCACAACATAGGGCCGTCACCACGAACCATCTGGGATGGCCTCCTCTGCAAGCCGGCTCCATCATCCTCACATCTCCACTGCGACTGGAACCAGTTTTCTGATTGGGCAGAGGTCATGCTCCAGGCCACCAATTACTCAGGTCCCTTTGCCTGAGTTTCATTTGCTGCCGCAGGATGGTCTACACAGCCCTCCCGCGTGCACGCATTTCCTTTTACATTTATTTTCCTACAACCATACACAAATCCACATTTTCTTGCCATGCATGTCTGCCGAAGGCGGCTCTGTCTGTGCGGGTGAATGCAATGGACCTAACCCAACAAGATCATGCCGAATGAAATGTTTTTACCTGCGCTCCATCAACATGTCCAGTCTGTACTGCACAGATGCTCACTTTGAATTGACCCCAATCCACGACGCCGTGCTTTGCTCAGGGCGTTAAGCTGCTGGTTTGCCTCGTTTTGTTTGATAAAGACTTGTCGTTTCACCTTGTGTATTCCTTGTGCAGCATCTGATGCATGTCAAAGTTGGATACTCGCGAAGGGTCCCAGAGATTCCGCCCCCATCTCGTTCATTTCTCCACATTGGGGAGCAAACCTTCGTATCAGCTGAATAGCTCCGGACTAAAAAAAAAAAGTAAATAAAAATGATACCATCGAGCTTCTGAACGACCCCTTTCTCTCCCGGTCGTTCCTCCCACGTTTGTTCGCAACGTCCGAAAGTGGTAATCCGTTACGAAAACGCGGCTTGATCTCAAAACGGGCAAGTGCAAACCCTTTTTTTCTATTATTTATGGTTGGTATCTTTGTGTCCGTGAGCCTTGAGACCTTAATACCACGGAGCAAGAAGCAAAGAGGGTTGGAGACGGGATAGAAAACGCATCTATTCAAGACCTAGGGTGGCCTCGATATCCTTATCGCTGCTTTACTCCCCACAATGTACATCCCGATCAAACGAACCGACCCCAATGATCTGAGAAACTAGAGTGCTCCGTGGACAATAGTGAAACGAGTAGATTAGCATGCGGTAGGGAGAGATAGAAAGGGCGTTGGAACGCGTTACAGGTTCGTGGGTGCGCGAGGACGCGATCGAGCGCCGCGAAACTGGTCTACGCGTCTGTTCGCGTCGGCAACCATCGCCCAGCCTGCCGATGGGTTTTCGGTCCGCGTCACCCCCACACGGCTTATGCGCATGTGCCGCCAGAACCTTAATTTCGGTCCGTGGACATTGGACATGGTTTTCTCACCTCCACATCCCATCATCCTACTCCTGCATTCCTTCCATCCTCTTTCATCATCTCACAGAAAGCAACACGAACAAAAAACAGCAAGAAATCGATACTGAAACAGAATTGAGAATCATGTCCGCTGCCGTTCGTGTCGCTCAAAGCTCAAAGGCGTCGATCAAGTCTCTGATCTCGCTTATGAACAAGTCCTGCGCCTGCCCAGCCCATTCGCACGCCCGCGCCATCCAGAACCAACAGAACGTCAGCTGCGGAAAGCACCATCACCACACCAAAGAAGGCAGCCACGACCATAATGACAAGAACCACGAGTACGCGTTCGAAATGGCGTCGTCGACCATGCGTTTCGGCGAGGGCGTCACCCGAGAAGTCGGCCAGGATCTCGCCAACATGAACGCCCAAAAAGTGCTTGTCATGACTGATCCCAACATTGCCAAGCTGCCTGTTATGAAGACTGTGATCGAGTCTCTTAAGGCCAATGGTGTCCCATTCGTGATCTACGACCGTACTCGAGCTGAGCCAACCGACCAGAGCTTCCAGGATGCGATCGACTTTACTAAGGCTCATAAGCCGGATGTCTTTTTGGCAGTCGGTGGTGGGTCAGTCATGGATACCTGTAAAGCCGCCAACTTGTACTCTCATTATCCAGAGGCGGACCTGCTCGAGTTTGTGAATGCACCGATTGGAAAGGGCAGTGTGATCCATAAGACGCTGTCTCCTCTTATTGCCAGTACGTACTTCAAGTCGCACTGTTTCTGTGGGGCACCGTGGGAATATGTTTGTACGCCAATGCTCATGCGGTATTTTTTTTTTTTTTTTTTTTCCTAATGCACACTAGTTCCAACTACAGCCGGCACAGGAAGCGAGACGACAGGAACAGCCATCTTTGACTACAAACCACTGAATGTCAAGACAGGAATCGCCAGCCGCAAATTGCGACCGACACTGGGCATTGTCGACCCACTCAACACACGCACCATGCCAAGTCAGGTTAAGATCGCCTCAGGTCTGGATGTGCTGTGCCATGCATTAGAATCGTACACAGCCTTACCGTACCAGGAGCGTACACCTCGACCCGCCAACCCAGCCGAGCGTCCGGCGTATCAGGGCTCGAACCCTATTTCGGACATTTGGTCTTTGGAGGCCCTGAGATTGACTGTCAAATATCTGAAGCGCTCGGCCACGGACCCCCTGGACATGGAGGCAAATGACCAAATGTGTCTTGCTGCATCGGCTGCGGGGACTGGTTTCGGATCTGCAGGTGTCCATGTAGGTTTTCTGGCTTTTTTTTTTTTCTAAAAAAAAAAGAAATAGCGCAAGACGGAGCATGGACCTTTTGCCTCGGTAGAATATTGCCTATGTTCACCCGCTGTGTTCTAATTTTTTATTTTTTATGTTTTGTCTTTTTCATTTTAACAGCTCTGTCACGGAATGAGTTACCGTACGTGGAAGTATCTGATGATAGACATCTGCAGCTCCACACCGGACGACGAGCTCCATGTATTCACTCGATTGTTTTTTGATCAAACACACAATAGCCATCAGCGGACTGAACAAGAGCTATAAGCACCCGGAGTACAATGTCGACCACAAAATTGTCCCTCACGGTATGCTTCATGTTTCTGACTCTGAGCCTTGGAAGCGACAAAAAAAAAACCCCCCGCCCTTAATGTTTTTCTTTCGTCCCTTTCTGCAGGCATTTCTGTCGCGGTCACTGCCCCAGCCGTGTTCCGCTACACAGGCGAGGCCTGTCCTGACCGCCACCTCAAGGCTGCCGAGGTCTTCGGCGCAGATATCTCCAAGGTGCGCAAGGGCGAGAGCGCCGGCCCTTTGTTGGCAGATCAACTGACAAAGTTCCTGGAAGGTTTGGGCGTGCCCAGCGGACTGGAGTCATTGGGTTACACCAGGGCAGATATCCCAGCTTTGGTCAAAGGTACATTACCACAGCACCGTGTCACGAAACTGGCACCCCTGCAAACAGGTGCTGAAGCGCTAGAGAGGATCTTTGAGGATGCCATGAAGAACTATTAAGATATCTAGAATATCTTGGGGATCGGTGCAGCAATAGAAAAAGTGCTTATTATTATATGGGTAACTCAGGTCAACCCATTTTGATCCACTTAAATGACGCCCTTGGTCAACTCAAATTGCGCGTGCGCCCAAAAATAAAGACAGACTGGATCATCCATCCCATTTCTCACTCCTTCACTCCCAACTCACTCCCATACTCCATTTATTCGTCTTTATGGGCAGCGCCAAGCTCAGCATCAGCCTGGTCTTCTTCGCCTGGGATAAGTGTAGCTCCGTTGATCCATGCCTCCTTGAAGTGACAGATCATGGTGCTGGTACGGTTTGATCCATATCTTCGGTGAAGGATAAAGCGTATATCTCCTCTTTCAATCTCGCTGCTCAATGGCGCACGATCATCACAGCCGAATAATATTTGTTGAATTCCTTTGCAAAGGGCTGCCCCAAGCGCAGATAGTGCAACACTTCGTTTGGCTGTGTGAGGTGGGAGAGGACATTATTAAGGGTCAAAATGAGTTGACCTGAGTTGCCCGGTCAACTCAAATGTATCACCCTTATTATATTCCTGGTAATGGATGATGGCGATAATTCTCCTATTGTTGCACAAAGATGATAGTGCCGGTGGTCTGCCTCCCTGGCACGGGTCCTCGCCGTAAGGGAGAGTCCGCAGCACAGCAAGACAGCATTCAATTGCATGTTGGATACTATCAATGTTACGGGTAGGCATTTTACAAGCGAGCCACCCATGTATCAATTGACGGCGTTGATGGACATGTTAGATGAAAGCTGATCTCTGCCCTTATCGTCGCCCTGATCTTGGCGACATGCTGCACAGCTGAAGATATCGGCGGCGAAGCCCATGAAACCATCCCATTGATGCCGTCGACCTGCTAGTCTTGACCAATACATCGTCGATTGGCACAACTATAACTATCGTAACACTAATATGTCGTACGCCTGTCAAGCGAAGCACGACCAAGGATATGATACAACGATCGATTTTTTCAAGGAGAACCTTGCTAAAAGAACAATCCAGTGGGGCTACTGATACTCTTGACGCGGCTCCTGATGTCATGCGTGGACTATTCAGACCCTGAACAAGCTTGACCTCTATCGACGAACTTTTCGATAGTCCAGATGGCAGCACGGCACATCAGAATACTTTCTCTACTTCAATAAAGGCGGTTTTTTGAAAGGTTCAGTGCCCGCTCGACGCATAGGGAGAGATAGTTGAAACCAACCAAGACCTTATTTAAAACACTTGGCGTACGCACCATGTGTCAGGACTGGACATCTTCGAGGAGGAGACGAATGACAGAGTCTCGTGCGTTAGCAGTGCCCGAGAATTGTTCCGAGGTGGATGAGCAGTATAAACACTGTCAGGTCGTCATCGCCGCCTATAGTTGAGGCATGAGAGGCATCACCCGAGCATATCAGAACCTGACCACCAGTGGTGGATCGCCACTTCCGATACCGCAATAGCCGCAACACCACCGAGTTGTGAGCAAGGCCTTCCGTATTTGAACCAACCTCCACGCGACGCGTCTTACTTCCTACGGATCCCTAGAATGATACTGCCTATTCATGACTCCCCTTATCGTCCCTGAGGCTTTCCCTGATCAAGTTATACGCCTGCTTTCAGGGATATCCCGGCTCTCTATTTGCCGAGCGCCTTTTTGACCCATCCTTTACCCATTATCGCTCGCGTTTACTCTCTTGATTGCCTTAGTCTTCGCGTCCTCGATGCTCCCAACCATTGCTAGGTTCCCTCGCAGCCCATTGTTCACCTCAACTCTATCGATTATGACGAGGCTAGCGATCTCGAGTCCGTTTTAATTGGCATCTTTCCCCTCATCAACAGGGCTTTTTGGTGACAGATGGACTCCGCCAACGCGTCCTTGACTTGACTCTGGATCACGAACAAAATTCGTTACCTCAGGAAGACTCCCCTCTTTATCTTTCAGTAACCTCAGTACCATATACCATGGCCTGCTGCAAAAAGTTATTGTACTTTTTCTCACACAGGCATGGGTCCTTACTTCAACGGCCTCACTGCAACCTTCAAATAATTATAAATATCTGGGCCATATACCGTCAATAATACTTCAGTCTTAAACCATGTTCACTCAATTCTTAAAGTCTATTCTAACCTTGCCAATTTACCCTTCGCCAAGGCTACTTTTCTTTTCGTTCTGACCATATCCATTAAGTCACTATCATCCTCTTTTTTTTTTTTTTTTTTTTTTTTTTTTTTTTTTTTTTACCGCTGCTCTATCCTTTCACAGCCTGTTGTTGTAAAAGTTTGCTCCGCAAGTCGTAGTGAGCCATCCGACTTTTTTTTTTTTTTTTTTTTTCCTTTTTTTCTTGTATTTTATTTAGAACGAGGGCATACCAAGTGCCTCTCGTAAGCTACGCACGCTGACTTGAAGAGACACCCATTGATCATTGAGTTTGACCCTAATCGTTGCACATTCCTCTTCCTGTGTCGTTGCCTCCGCCATCCTCTGTACTGCTGCTGCTACTGTTCCAGTGCTGCTCGCCGCCTCCACGGCTGTAGATCCTGATGTTTGTTGAATTGCGTTGCTGCTCCGTTTACCAGCCGTGATGCCCTTCTTTGTATCGTTTGCATCGACCAAATAAATGAATAAATGAACATAGACTTTCGACAGGTCCCCCAAACGCTTTGCCTCTGTCCTCCATGCCTTCGCAATTCGTTCGTCACAATTGTCCTTGTTCACTTCCTGATAGTGTTGTTGTGGACTCGAGTTCGAGGGTCGGATATAGGGAAGGGCATCCATGGGCCATTCGAGACCCGAGAGTCCTTTGGCACGGGAACGGATCCGGGCGCGTAGGACTTCAAAGGGATCCTGTCTCCAGTTGTGTGGAAAGATCTCGGGATCGGGAAGGTCCTTGAGCGAACGGCAGCGAACGCGGGGTATGCCCTTGCGAAGATGCAGCTTGATTTGAATGGTATCTGGCATCTCGAGAACAACTGCAGGCTGGCTTGGCTGAGAAGCTGCTGATGGCAAATCCTCGGTAGATGAATCCATTTGTGAGCTGGCAGGCAGGGTCGAAGCGAAAGCGATGTATGAACGGATGAATAGGAGCCTGCAGGTGGTAGGTGCGAGGATTTCCGATTTCTAGTAAAGACGTTGGAGCATTAAAAACGCACCAACTACGTCAGCAAAAGGCGACGCGATAGAATTTTTTTGGTGAGCATAAGCAAATACATGCAGTAAAAGAATTTCGGCGTGCAATAACAGAATTATGCAGCTTTGGGATATAAATTACACCTACCGATCATTTTTAAATGTGCTTGCGAACACATATATGGTTGAGATGGGGTTTAGGCACTTCCTGGGGCCTGGCTAGTTGCCGATTCCTGCCCTGATGCCGCATTGGCTGCACGCTTGCGCCTTGGAGCTCCTTCTTGTTCTGCAGCCGCGGTTGATGCTGTCCTCTTTCGGGCCACACTGCCCTTGCTGGCGCTGGTGCTGCTAGTACTACTGGTGCTGCTAGTACTACTGGTGCTATTGGTGCTGCTAGTGCTACTGTTACCATTGATGCTGCTAGTGCTACTGTTACCATTGATGCTGCTAGTGCTACTGTTACCATTGATGCTGCTAGTGCTACTGTTACTATTGATGCTGCTGCTACTGGTGCTCGCGCTATCGGTTACTGTCTGTGTAGCTTCCATCCAAGGATATCTACCATTCTCATCTACAGGCTGAAGATAGAGTGGCCTCTGTTGCTGAAGCAAGTGCCCTTGAATAACGTTGCAAATATTGTGGCCCGCCATGATATCGCGGTGCATGTATGTCTTGCAAGTCTTGCAATACAGCCGACGTATTTGAACCTGGCCGACAAACTCCTCGCACATCGGACACTTCTTTGACGTGTAGTACTCATTGACGCCCACGACAATATACCCGAGCGCCCTTGCCTAACGGACACAGAACGTAAGGCGCCTCATTAGCGTCATCAGTAGCTTTTTTTTTTTTTTTTTTTTTTTAAAAAAAAAAAGAAATCGAATGTCTTGCAATGAAGCACTAACCCTTTGAACAAAGTACGATTGGAAGGACTCATGTAACGAGGAAAGTCGTCTCGTGGATGAAAACTTGCCTAGACCAATGCCGATTACAACCTTGTCCTCTTCATCTCGCTGTCTACCAAGCGATCCTCCAACCATATTGAGCAGGCGATCTGCGATGATGTCGAATTCTGCCTCTCTAGCTTTTCTGGCATCCCACCGGTGCTTTTTGAATGTGGCGCTTTTGTTGTAGAACTCGTCGAGCTGCTCCTTGACGCCTGCTAATCCCGCGACGTACTTTTCAACGCTGGCATCCTTTCCGCGAAGGGCTGGTAGCTCGCTTTCGATGTTGCTGATAGATTTTGCTGCGCCTAGCGGGATCGACCGTTTGCGTTCTTCTAACCAACGTCGAAACTTGAATGTTGGTTGGTATACGGCCTTCTGCTTTACAGCTAGGTTGTAAAAGACCTGGGAGCTGCGGGCGGAAGCCTCGGTGTCATTGTCATTGTCAGGTTGTTCGGTACCGACGGCACTGTTCTGTTGATGGAAGCTCTCCTTGGATCTCGGCATACTCGCTCCTGTAATACATGCTTGCTCTGGATTATAACTGTCGTTGCGTGGCTTTCCATTTTCGAGGCTGACGGATTTTTTCATGTCATCTAAGGTCTTCTCAGGCAATAGAGCGCTCGCTCCAACCACAAACGCTTGACCAAGATCGAGACCTAATATCTTGATTTTCTCTGGTTCACAGTCCCAAAGAACTGCGACATCCTGCTTCGTCTTGACAACGTTCCGAACCTCAGTTAGGTAGTAGTCGACTCCACCCACAGTGGACGTAATCCGAGAAGGCAATATGTCCGTGGGATGCCGCCTGTACCGAACGAGAGAAGCTCCTTCAGCTTGAATGCCGTTAACTGGAGACGAAAGCCATCGGTCCGAATAGATCCGCGAATAACGTAACCGCGTTCCTTATAAGTGCGGGGGTCGAAATCCTCGTTCTGAATGATTCTCAGGTGCTCTTTGATCTCTGCAAGTGAAGGTGTCGCGAGGTTGTTGAATGATTTGCTGATTCCGGGCATGCGACGCTTTTTATGACCCAGTCCTACGTCGGTGATGAGTGTCGTGAGGAGGTAGCCTGGTGCTTGGTTGGCCAGCCAGTACGACATGTCAGACAACGCAGGACGATAGTCCTTGGCTCCATGAAGACTCTGCAGCTTCGCCTTGAGTGTGCGCTCTTCCAAAAGATTGAAATTAATTCCAGTTCCGTGAACGCGACGAACGGCTGCGCGGAAGGCGTACACGCCATTAACTTCCGAGGGTTCTTGGTCAGCGGGTTCAGACGGTAAAAGTTCTCGACCGCAGAGACGTCGCCACGAATGTCAATGCATGTCCCAGCCGGCAAGAGCCCTTTGACCAGTTGTTTCTTGAGCTGTTTTAAAGTTGCCGTGTGTAAGGTTCGAGTTAGCGGAATAGAACCTTGTAACCTTGAACCTTGTGTCCCTTGTATGTACATGTACATATGTTGTTCCCCCCTCTCTTTTTTCTCTCTTTCTTTCTCCCCATTTCGCCACAGAATACCTTCACTCTCAGTCATTCACTGTCTATGTCCAACATCGCCACTCCGGCATCCCTTACTCTTTCCTTCTCACATTTACCTTTTTATGGAGTTCCTTGCAGCCTTTTCCGTACAATCGCTTGAGATCAACCGACAGCTGCGCGATTATGCTTCGCAGTATGACTGACCCCGGGTATGGCATTCTCGTGTTGATGATAGCAGCATCTTTTCGTTCCAGTAAGTGTAGCTCCTGCGCTCGATCGATGAACCTCCGCGTGCACTGTGTACTCTTCGTTTTGCCGCTAGGGATGATGCCCGAATACACATATGTTGTTAATATCCCAAGGAACCTTTGATGATCGTCCTTATCGACCTCCGAATCTGCGCGTCTCTAATCC